AAAGTCCAAGTTTTTCGGTGGTTTAAGGCATTTTCAGAAGGGAGACAGTCGATTGAAGATAAACCACAAAGCGGAAGACAGAATCCGGGATGTTTATCTTGCAGAACCGAATGAACTTGTGTGTTTAGATCTTCGGTTGATAGTCATAACGAACGGGGAAGTGTTACATTTGACTCACACCAACGCTCTTTAGATCTGGGTGTTACATCACCATAATTTTCCTTGTCACACAGCTATGTCAATAAACGAGTTTTTGGCCAGTAAAAACATTCCTGTGGTTCCTCAGCCTCCTTATACGCCTGACTTGAGTCCTTGTGACTTTTTTCTCTTCCCCAAGTTGAAAAATAACTTCAAGAGAACTCATTTTGGGGCAACATTCAAACGGCTGAAGGCTATTCCAGTATCGGAGTTCCAGCACTGCTATGAGGAGTGGGAAAACCGTCTCCAGCGTTGCGTGGCTTCAGAAAGGAGTTATTTTGAAGGTGACAATAAACGTATTTATATTGTAATAAAACTAAAAAATCAGTCTCATCACTTAATTTACAGACCTCAGACATCATGGGCGTCCACAGGAATTTATCTCAGGAATGAGCGATCTTCGGTAAGAGACACAATTTTGTAAAAGTTTGCCAGGGAGGTAGATCCGAAAAATCTTCTTTATACACAACACTATGCTAAATATGCGAATTTCAACGTCCAACTGACTTTCCATGGGGGGGGCACCGTCCCCCTGGCCTCCACTTGGAGGCGCTCATAGGTGTATCTAAAGAATAAATTGCCTCTAATGATGAATATTAGTTTGCATGAGGTCACAGAAAACCAATGGTTCCTCAAATTGATTAGTTTCAATAATTGAGCATAAATGCAATTTTGATTACAAAACAAAAGCAAATCCAAGAGAATCATACTTATAATGAGATCGCCTAGGGGTTAGCGGCGAGCCCTCGCTGATCTGCCCCAACTGCAAGCCCGGCTGTCCATTAACCCTGCAGGTGTCGATGCGCTTTTTGGGCGGATCGGCTGCCCCATCTGCTGCTGCTGCTCCCGCGCCGCCTCCACCGCTGTTGCGCACGCGCAAAATGCAGTCGGGTTCATCTTCACAGGCTGGCCGACGACGCTTTCGTTCTAGCAACAAGAAGTAGATCACCTTTTCCGTGTTGTGGCTGGAAAATGAGACGTTTTCATGTATTTTGCATCTAAGAAAGTAAAACCTGATTGAAGGAGAAATCGAAATTGTACATTCGCGCAAAAGGGTCAAGTTTCAAGAAGGTTTCTGGATAAAATGTCATAATCTGTTATCTGCTTAACAAATTGTCTTTTAGAAATCAGTACCATGACTTAAACTTGCGTTATGTTAGACATACACTAAATATGCCGTCATACTGGACAACCTTTTTGAGGAAATATTTCTCGTATCACCTTTACAATAATAGCCTGCCAGCTACTCTAAAAACCCTGCCGATTCAACCCTTCAAACTTAAAATTAAGCAGTTCATTTTCAATGGTTTTACATGATTTCGTATATGACTTTTTGTGATATATTTTAAATTTTTTGTACCTAATTTTCATTCACCTGTTCAACTACCTTACTTGTTTGTGTAATAATACTTTGCTGAGAAAACTGTAGGTACTTTTTGTATATTTTTGTATTCCATGTATAAAATAATTATTATTATTATTATAACTTCCATCTTTAGAGGCAAAAGGTTAAGACTGGTATACTGGCCGAGATATTTCCACCCAATAAACCACGCGCGAATCGCAACACCCAAACTGTGTACCAAGCCTTGCTTTTTCTTTCGACGTCTTTTTCAGATATTTCATTGCTGGCAAATTCTTCATAAAAGACAATCCATCAGAAGAGGCTGGCTCCAGTTCAAAAAGAAAATTCTTTTCATTCTTGTGTTACACACCTCCTTTGTATCCCTTTTGACTGATTCTATTTAATCTGTTATATGAACGTTATTTTGAAATCACACCATGTTGTGCAATAAGAATAACTTACCTAGGACTAAGTAAATGTTGTATAAGCTTATCTTTTTCTTTAAAGCACCCTAAACTACAAATAGCCTGAAGGACATCTGGATCTACTGCTTCCACAGAAGGTAGTACATGCGTTTGTACCACTTCCATCATTGGTAGCTCCAATTCCAGTTCACCTTTACCACCTGCTGTTACCCACGGGTGTTTGTTGATATCCGCTAGCTGCAACATCAATTTCTTAGAATTCAAATTCGCTGTAGTATTTTTTTTAACAAAAAACTGGATAAAATAAGCAAACTTTTTTCAAGAAGTAGCTTTGTCATGCCAAAATGCATATTTGCATCTAGGATATTTGAGAGTTAAGGATAGATTAAAGTTATAACGTTATTGTGCCATTTGTCATTTTTAAGAACTAGTCATCAATTCTAGCCGTTGCCATACTGCAAAAAAGGCCTCTATTCTTACAAAATATCAATATTGTTTGTTATTAGAGAGTCTTGCCGATCATATACAGGGTGCTGATTTGAAAACTTCCCATCACGGATTTATCGAAAAACACTGATTAAAAGTAAAAACGCTGAGACACGTCAAAATATTTGTCAAGGGGGCAACTTTCTAACCAAAAACTTCTTCACCCTCGGCCCCCCGGTGTCATTCCCTTGAAAATTTTAAATGACAAGAGGTATCGAGTAAAGGCTTGTTTGAAAGGCCTTTAGAAGTCCTTTATTTTGACGTTTGATTTTTTAAAATCAGTCAATTCCTTTTCGAGAAAATTACATAAATCTTTATTTATCTTAATTTGTTCAGATATAAAACAAAAACACACGAAAATATCGCTTTCTATTTTAATAAGTGTTCAAAATGTTGCCCGTTAGGGCTTGCCAAATCTACAGTTCGTTTATCATTTAAAACGGAAACTACCAACATAAACAGCAATTCGGAAGATTAGACGTGACAACAACCAAATAACAACCCGAGTTTTTTCCGCATTTTTTTTTCATTAAAACAGATATACTGGACAAACTGTATTTATTGTTATAGCTATTTAGTTATTTGTTGCTAAGGGAAAGAATTTAATTTGCTATCAGATACCTTTGTGACAATCTTGGGATAGTCAAAATTAATTTATTGATTCAGATTTTACTTCCAAAATGGTTTATTCGCTAGCCGAAAGAGTGGAAATGATTCTAATTTATGGTTCCCATCAATGTGCTCGGCAAACTGTTGCAAATAAAAAATGTGATCATCGGAGAGTTTTGGATGAAGCCGCTCAAGTTGAAGTTTTGGGTCATTTTGCAATAAATCCTAATACTTCATTACCCAAAATTGTTGCTGCGACTGGTATTTCATTAGGCTCTGTACACACAGTTACTAAACTCCATAACTTTCATCAATTCAAAATGAAAATATTGCAAGAGTTAACCGAAGATTTCAATAGGTGACTTGAGTTTTGTGAACAAATGATAATACCATTCATGTAAAGAATATCTGCTCCAGTGATGATTGCATATTTTCTCTAAATGGATTTGTTAATACGCATAACTGCAGGTATTGGAGTAATTAGAATCCTCATGCTTTTGTAGATGGGCTTACCCAGTACCCCCAAAAAAATAATGTATGGGCAGGCATTCTAGGAAACAAAGTGATTGTTTATTAATGCAAATTTGGATGGAGACATTTATTTGGATATGTTGGAAAATACCATTGAAAACCAAATCGAAGATTATGGAAACCCTATACTTGATGAGGCTGAAATATATTTAAAGCAAGACGGCGCTCCTCCTCACTATGTTCTTGCAGTTCGGCGATGGCTAGACGACGACTACATAAATGGATAGGGCGAAGAGGGCCTATAGAATGGCCTGCTAGATCTCCTGATTTGACGCCATTGAACTTTTTTCTATGGGGCCATTTGAAGTCTATTGTGTTTAATCACCAACCTGAAAGTTTGGATCAACTTCGTTAACGCATTATCGAAAGCTGCCATGATATCCCACATGTTTTTGAAAATGACCGTCAGGAATTTGAACATCGCCTATATCATTGTTTGGCCAATAACGGGCAACATTTTGAACACTTATTGAAATAAAAAGTGATATTTTCGTATGTTTTTGTTTTCTATCTGAACAAATTAATACAAAACGAATCGACCAATTTAAAAAAATCAATCTTCAAAATAAAGGACTTCGAAAGACCTTTCAAACAAGTTATTATTCGATACCCCTTGTCATTTAAAATTTTCAAGGCTGACCCTGGGGGATAGAGGGTGAAAGGGGGTGAAGTAGTTTTTGGTTAAAAATTGTCCCCCTTAACAAATCTTTCGACACGACATGTATCGGTATTTTTTCTTTTAATCAGTGGTTTTAGGTAAATCAATGTTATTTTGACACTTTGGCCAAAGATTTATGCGTGACAAATGCAGAGGCTGACGTTAACGTGTACCTACGTATGTGGTAATTGTGATTGCCAAAACTCTCTGATCTCTCATGTATTATCATTTATACTAGTTCCATTAGAGATGTGTCGATAATAGTAAAATATGGATTTTTAGCTGGCACTCCTTTTACGTGCTCCTGCCAAAAAGTTCTTCTGTTTTTTCGCGACAAATTGCCTACTTAATTCAAGTGGCTAGATGGAAAATTGTGTGAAATATATTACGGAAATATATCTAAAGCAGATGCTGAGGAATTTCTGGGCATGCTTGTCATATCAAATGTTCAATGAAATTATTATACATTATTTCCAGTTGGTTTCTAAAACTGCCTATGTTTTTGATTATAATTGCTTTGATATCGACTCTCTGGCAATGCAATTTAATTTTTCGTAAAACGTATAATCCTTTTCGTATTCCTTGTGAAGCTTTGCGACAAATATAAGAGATCAACCAAAATGACATTGCAGTTTAAGTGATTGATCTCTCAAGCTATAAATTCATTTAAAACTCATTTAACTATCTTTTTCTTGTTTTTTTCTCGATATTGAACGAGTTTTATTTGAATCGGGTTCTTTATTTGAAGTTATTCAAAGCAAACACTCACCGTTAGTCTTTTTTCTGGATTGACCTCAATCATTCCCCTGAGTAGACTTTGACAGTCAGGTGGGACAAAATGGGGGATGTGAAATACGCCTCTTTTCACCTTCTCCAGTAACTGCCGCAGATTGTCATCATCAAAGGGCAAAGCACCTACTAGGAGAGCGTAGAGTATCACTCCGCAAGACCATACGTCTGCTTTCCGACCGTCGTACTTTTCGCCCTATAGATAGAAGCAGAAGATATGTTCTTTATCACAATCTTATGATCACCCGTAAGCTTAAACGTTCACTATTTTTTTATGGAGAAGCTTTAGCTTAGATTATGCAATGTTCAATAAAGTTTTTCGATGGCTTGCGAGTTAAAATTATCCAAAGCGAAGCTCATGTATATTGATATTACGCCCTGATCTGATGGTAGGTATACATAGTGCATTATTTTAAATTAAATGTTACTGTTACTGTAAACGACTAAATTTGTAAAAGTGAAGAGCGATATATTTGGAGGAGCTCTTTCGAATCAGATTTTTTTGTAATACATACCCTGATCACTTCTGGACAAGCGTAATGAGGTGATCCGCAACTGGTTTCTAGCATAGAACCCATGGGTTGTAACGAAGCCATTCCAAAATCAGCTATCTTAATATTATTCTTTTCGTCTAAAAGTAAGTTCTCTGGCTTCAGATCTCTGTGGCTGAAAAATAATATTCAATCAGATAATATACCACTATACAGGGATACAGATTCACTTATTTCACTAAACTGGTTTGATCGCTGGGCGAACCTTACGATGATGTCGTTATCTACTTTGGAACATTTTTAACCTTCCTCTTTATTTGTAAAAACTTACCATATGGAATGACTATGACAGAAGTCCAAAGCTGAAATAATTTGCCTAAAAAATCGTCTAGCTTCCTTGGGGGTAAGTCGGCCTTTTTTCACTAGATAATCAAACAGTTCTCCACCCGACACATGCTCTAGTACCAAGTAACTAAACAAGAAAACAATGTTGATTATTGATTTCTCGAAAATACTGAATACTGAATAAACTTTTAAAGATTATACTCACAGGTATTTTTTATTTTCGTAAACGTCTGTTAAGCCTAGAACGTGTGGGTGATCTATCAATTTCATAATAGCTATTTCCCGTTCAACCTGTCAATCAAACAAAAAAAAAATACTTATTCCGTAATACCAAAGCATTTGCTCAGCTCCAATTAAAGAGTAAACAAAACAAATACGGGAACGTCTTGCTCTCTAATTGGATAATTCCAGATGAAAGAATATAAGCGGTTCATATAAAACGGTAAAGGTATATTTTCCAATACATCGCTCTCGAAATGTATGGTTTAATACAGTGAATTGAGTTGTGCTTTCTTCTTATCTCAGAATTGATTTGATTCAGCTATTCTAAGAAAATATATACGTATACATATAATGCATACAAGCGTCATTCGACCCTCAAATTCGTTAAGATCAAAATTCTGAAGTGTTAGATTTATGCGTATGTAGTAAAAATCCTTTAGCGGTTGAAAAAAGCTTTAAATCAAGAATCGTGGGTAATATAAAAAGGCGTAAAACACGTGAGTTTGGAAAACACCTTACCTTCATGAGTACACTTTCACTTAGTTTTTCCCTATTGATAATTTTGATTGCTACTTTTTTGCCCGTGACGCAGTGAACCCCCAGCTTCACGAGGCCTGAAAAAAATGTGTATCATATACTCGTGAATATAAATAAACAACTTGAATAGCTTGAGAAAAGCAGAAATTTTAGTAACCTGATTTCCTCGTACATCTATGGCTTTATTTAGCAACCAGTCCAACATAGGTATGATTCAACAAAAAAGTAGCAAAAATATAAATGCTGAAACTGCTAGCGCGCGTGGGTTGTTAATATTATTGTCAAATCGTCCACCGCTATTAATGTGGATACGATACAGTTTCTGACCAAATACAGTGAATAAAAAAACAATTTAGGGATGCCATAAGCATTTTAAAAATCAAAAATGCCTACTAAGCTACAAAAGCTATGCAAAATTTCTTACATTTTGTCATAGGGATTTTTGTCAAGGGATAATATGATAATTGCTAGTTTCAGTCCTACGTCTTCCTTTATAGAAAAGTGACCTTGGTCGGCCGTAATGGAAAACCGATAAATTGGATCCTTTATTATAATAAAAATGGATGAATAAGAATGAGTTGAGACAAACAGGACTAACTGAAACTGATTTTTTTTTATTTCTAACCACTTTTGAAATAAAGGATTCCCTTCTTAAAGTCGATTTTGTAATATACAGTTAGTACCAAATGGTTTCTGACTGGGAAAGACTGATAAATATAGCCATCCAAACAAATTACAACAAATCTGAACCACTGTAAATGACAGTTCGGGAATATAAAAATATCATTTTGGGAAAGAACCCATCATTTTCGGAGCTGTCCCACAAAATATTCAAAACAAAACCTATATACAAGAGTGCATTTGCCAGCGAAAATGAGAAATTAGAATCTTTCCCGTTTAAGTTTCACCTATCAGACTACGTTCTATCGTATTTCGCGGTTTTCTTAGATAAATTGTTTATAGACATCAACGTATCTGCAATCTGAATATAATCTGGTACCAAAACGGAAGAGCATAAAACATTTTGCACTGGTGCTAACGCAGGATTCACGTGCACTGACTGCCAATACAAAAGAGTGTCGCCATAGGACAATGTGTTATGCTTCCCTGGACCTCAAGTATAAATTGGGTGCGTAGGTCACCAGTATGATGTCTGCTTATTGCTGAGATGGACAGAAGGCCCTGTTTCCCTGATCTAAATACCATCTGACGCATCTGAATTTTTTTATGGCCATATTCGAAATCGGTGACGCAAATTAACTCAATGTACCGGTTTTCGTTCACTTAGTAACGAAAGTCGGAAATTTTCAAAAATTCCTGCCTATTTGTAATCTCACACAAAACCCGTTTGTTGTATAAGTCGGACGCGTAGATCACGAAACCGATGTGAGTGTTTGTCTAAGATTGTTAATAGAACCCAATAAGCCCATTTCTCTGTTTCAAGTAGGGCTTTGAGACATGTTTGGATTTTTTGGTAGCCGTATACAAAATATGTAAGCTTCTTAATTATACCAGGGTTCAGAGTTTCGTTCGCCTGCAGCCACATATGGTGAAAATGAAAATTTTGCTTTGATAAACTTAATATAAATAAAAATCCAGATAAGACAGCGCAAAGCGCTATCATACCAGAATCGACTACTGCAAAAACCGCATACCTGCTGTTAGTTGGAACTGTTAGGAATCTCAGCTCGCGTTTAATACCATACTTTGCCAAAACATTCGAGATCATCCTCAAAGATCAATTGAGTAGTCATCTTGAGTCAAACGAACTATTGAATACTTGTCAGTACGGTTTCAGGAAAAGTATGTCAACGACAACCGCGATAATTAGTTTCACCGAAACTGTTGACGAGGGTTTTGAGAACAAATTATACGTGAAGGACGACTTCTTCGATTTAACTTAAAGCCTTTGATTGTGTGCAGCATGAGATACTACTGTAAAAGCTTCCTTTTTATTCTATGGCTCCTTCCACTATCCAGCTTCTCAAGTCTTACCTGTCTGTAAGACAGCAATTTGTAGAATACAGACAGATCTACTGTCACCACAATTTGCATGGGATTATTCAAGGATCTGTACTTGGACCATTATTCTTCTTGCTATACATCAATGTCGTACAAACTTGTCTTAGTACCAGTGCTAGTAGCAAACTATTCCTGTAGGCCGATGAGACTACTCTTCTTTCAACTCACAGCACCTTAGAAGACCTAAACAATGAATCGTCACCATGCAGGGCGGACATTCAAAACTGGTTTGTTATTAACATTAGATGTAGGCAAAACTCAGACAATGAGTATTTCTGCACCGAATTTTGACAGAAATGATAACAACACAAAAACAGTAAAGTTTCTCGGGGTATGCCTTGATTCTTCGTAGACTTGGGACGAGCGTGTAAATCATCCTACAAAATCTTTGACAAAAGCTATGTATCTGATAAGGAATGACTTACGCCATTCTCTCATGAGGTCATTCTCCACACATGCCTAGAGTCTTTAGCCTACAGAGAAGATGTGTTAGATACATGTCAAACTTGAGGTTCAGGGATCCTTGCAGGAATGAATTCATTAAATTGAATATCATGTGTATATGTATATCCAATCCATGCTTGCATCATGCATGTTAAAACTCACTCTCATAATTACGCAACTCATCAAGACACTCATAATTACAACACCAACAAATAACATTTGTGTCCAAATCCTCATCGCCTTCTCAAAACTAGAAATGGTGTTGACTACCACGGGTTAAAATTAAACAACCTATTGCAAAGTCAAATAAAACCTTTAGATGTTGGACAGTTTTTCAAAACTATCAAATGCTTCCTACTATCTGTAGCTTTTTTTGATGTATAAGAGTTCCTTAACTTCAATTTTTCAACCTGGCATAATTTTTATTCGAATAAGTCTCTTTTATAAACTGCTGTCTTGATTCGGGTCTAAAGGCCGTCGTCGGTTGGAATTTCTTCCTAACGTTTCGCTAGCACGAGTGGCAAGCTTCTTTAGAGGTCCTTCCATTTCCGATGCTGGTTGTAGACTGACGATTTCTCTTGCGCAGGTTGTATTTATACCGGAGGGTAGGGGACGTGGCTTGTTCCGCTTCGTTGACTTCGGGATGTCGATCGGCACTGCTCGGGCGTTTCTGAGGATCGGGTGCCAGATCCCCAGATCGGTTTGAGTCTGAGGGTCTCTTCCTTCCTGTTGAAGTTATCTGGATGTTTGTGAATCTCGAAAGCATGCCTGACCAGTCTATTGTGATAGCCGTTGACTGATGACAGCAACCTGTAGCTCCCAAAGTGTATCCTGTGGTCCCCATTGCTTAGTGCATGTTCCGCTACCGCAGACTTCTCAGTTTGTCCTAGCCGGCAATTTACTTTGTGCTCCTTGAGTCTCGTTCCCATTGATCTTTTCGTGGTTCTAATGTATACTTTGCCGCCTGAACACGGTATGCGGTAGACTCCTGCAGCTGAGAGTGGGTCCTTCTTGTCCTTTGCCGATCTGATGGTTTGTTGGATCTTCTTCGTATGCTTGAAGATTGTTTTTATGTCATGTCTCTTCAGGACTCTGCCAATCCCGTCCGTGACTCTTGAACAAATGGAAGATACGCTTGAGAGGTGGTGGGACGCTGTTCGGTTTCACGTGGCCTGGCTGATCTCAAGCCCATTGATCTTTCGTTGTCCCTCTTGCTGTAGCCGTTTGCTGCTTCGAACGCAAATTTCAGGTGTTCAAGTTCTGTCTGGAGGTTCTTCGGTTCGCAAATCCTTTGAGCTCGTTCTGTCAGGGTTCCGATGACTCCTTACTTCTGACTTGGGTGATGATTGGACAAAGCGTGCAGGTATCTGTCTGTGTGCGTTGGTTTCCTGTACACTGTGTGACCCAGCTTGTTTCCTCGCTTCCTGACTAATACGTCCAAGAAGGCCAGTTGTTGGTCACTCTCTATCTCCATGGTAAATTGTAAGCTTGGATGCCGATCGTTGAGGTGCTGCAGAAACTCGTTTAGCCTGTCCGTGCCATGTTTCCAAATCACGAAGGTGTCGTCCACGTACCGGAACCAAATTGCTGGTTTGTTCTCCGGTGACTCAACCGCCTTCTTCTCAAAGTGTTCCGGTAGAAATACAACCTGCGCAAGAGAAATCGTCTGAAGAAGCTTGCCACTCGTGCTAGCGAAACGTTAGGAAGAAATTCCAACCGACGACGGCCTTTAGTCCCGAATCAAGACAGCAGTTTATCAACTGGCCACGAAAGCCTTAACCAATTTGTCAGTCTCTTTTATAATTGTTTAATCAACTCTATTTTTTATTAATATAAATGTGTAATTTTTATTAACTCTTTATTTAGCTTTTATTGCCACTTCGTGTTTTAGGTTTGTCTCATTTACGTATTGTTTGTTATTTTTACATACTCTTTTATGTTATACTTATATACTTTAGCTGACTTATTATTATCATTATTATTAATAGCCCAGTCACCACGTGACCGCCAAATGGCTGACGACTCTATCTGTAAAGTAGATAGATTATTCAACGACAAGTAGACCA